TTGACCCCGGAATCGGAAAGAGTACATCCGAAACCTTAAGAAAATGTACTTCTGGTATTAATTGTCAACAGTTTTATTTATTATTACGTAGCTTGAAAATGACAAAAGAATTTTCACGAGTTGGGCGTTAATGGGTTAAGACGGTGATTTTTGTGACACGAGTGGAGGTCGAGGGCGCCCCAAGACCTGCACTCGTGTCACAAAAATCACGGTAAACAAATTGGCTGCCTTTATTCCCATGTTACTTACGATATTTTTTATTTCTATTGCACAAAAGTAGCGATTTCAGATAGCAGACGACAAGGAGTTTGACTTGTTCGACTTGTATAAAAATGGCGGCCGTTTTCTCATATGGGCAAAAATAATGCATGAGATCAGCTGTTATTTTCTCACATGGGAGAAAATGGTCGCCATTTTCATAGGGTCGAACAAATGTGTGACTTTACTCCCTGTCATCAGCTATCTAAAAGCGCCATTTTTGTGCATGTGGGATAAAAAAGCCATTCTATAACGTTCTAAATAACATAAAATTATAGGAAAACGATCGATAATAGTACATTATGCAACAAGGGAGGTACGTCCGAGTTTATGTACCGAGCACAATATTGAAAAACGAGTCGTAGCACGAGCAAAGCGTATTATAGTTACTCTATGCTACCTGTACCGGTGCATGCTAAGTTCTTCCATATAACCCAGCTGGTCAATAAAGTGCCCTAAGGAGATAAAGGGTACTTTATTGACCTGTGAGCTGTCAATAATGTACCCTTTATCTCCCTAGGGCTATAATGGTTACTTTATTGACTGCTGGGTTATAAGGGGGAACTTAGTACGCGCCTGTACAGATAAATAAAGTGACCATAATACGCCTGAGTTGTATAAACACAATTAAATACTTGCTGACTTGATTAAATTCCATTTTGTTACTATTTTCGACCAATTCGCTTAGGCGGCCAACTTAGGACCACTCTTCCCTATGAATTTTGATAAATTTTCATCTGAATCATTAGTTTTATTGTACTTATGTGAATAAGAATCTTTAGTTTAAATATGTGTCCAACTTCAGATGCTTTTTAATTTCACAATTTCAATAAGAAATGGATTTAATAGCGAACTACGACAATAAAGATAAAAAAATTAATAATATTATTTACATTTTATATTACGATGTTATTTTGTTTGGATTTGTAATTTTAGTGAGAACTTATTTTGTTTTTTTGAAAAAATCCATTCATATAATTTTATAATTATTTATTAGCTTTCGCCCGTCGACGACAGGCATCCTCAGATAATTTTAAACTGAAATTACATACAATTATTAATGAAAGAAATATATTAAAAAATATCTAGAAGAACATAACCTATAACATAACCTATAACTTACCAAGAAGGTTTCTTCCCGGAAATTTACTAAAAATATAATTCAAAAAAACACATCTTAATTTGTCAACAAGGACAAATTTAAAATAAAACATGTTGTTAATAATAAAAAAAAAAAATTTACAAACGGAAAAAGAAGAGGAAAGAAAAAACATGTGTTCGCATGCTTGATCCCTCTTGTTCAACTTGTTCAAATATATTGGTGAATTACAGTGATAGTAAGTGAAACTGAAAAGTACCTCTATATATGGTAAGGAAGAAACCCATACAGTAGGTAAATTCAAATTTCAAATAAGCAGTAATCTAAGAAAATTTTTAATACAAAATAAATATATTAGTTAATTAGTACTGAGAATTAATGAATGATAAAACTGATTCAAATTATTTAAATCAGTCTGTTTATTAACAGAGTTTTCGGACTTGAGAATGTGAAACATCTCTCTAAATTTCCTTCGTCTGTAATTTCGTTCGTTACATATGATGTTTGTTGCTTCGAAATTAAAAAGATGGTCATTCTCATGTGCATGAGTGACCAAAGCTCTTTTTCTACTATCATTTCTACAATCCCTCTTATGTTCACTTAGTCTGTCTTTAATATATCTACCAGTCTCACCAATGTAGCAAGCTCCACATTGGCAAGGTACACAATAAACCAAATGCGATTTTAAATCAAAAGAAGTAGGGTCTTTATTTTTTGAAAAAATTTTAAACGGATCCTTATCATAAGAGAAAACGACGCCAACATTGTACTCATTAAATAAATTTTTAAAAAAATATTGCAGCTCATTTACGTAAGGCAAAACGACTACATTAGAGGAAGAAAAAGGTTCTTTGATATTATTATTATTAGCATTGTTATTTAATAAAAATTGGTAACGTAAATTAATATATTTATTTAAAAAGGTTACAGGGTAATTATTTTCAATTAGGATATCGTGAACAAATTTCAAATTATCATTAAAAAATTTTTTATCAGATAGTTTAATGGCTCTGTCCACCAAGCCATAAACAATGGAAATTTTATCTTTAACAGAAACATTAGAATTGTAGTTTAAATATCTACCAGAAAAAGTATCTTTGTGATACCAATCAGTCATGATAGAGTTGCTCTCTCTTATTAGAAGGGTGTCCAAAAAACTAATGCGACCATTATTTTCAATTTCAATTGTAAACTGTATATTATTATTATAGCCATTGAAGGCATCAAGAAGACAATTAACGTTATCCTTGTGGATACATGTAATAACATCATCCACATACCTAAAATAAAAAATACATTCAAAATCCAATTTCTTAAGAACATCCGATTCAAGTTTCTCCATCACTAAGTCAGCTATGGTGCCAGATAATGGAGAACCCATCGGAGTACCAAAAATCTGTTTATAAAATTTACCATTGAATGAACAATACGCACTATCAATACAAAATTCTAAAATGTCTAAAAATATATTGTCGGGAATATCTGTGTGCTGCCTGATTTCTCTCCATTTTAATTTTGTGCATTTCAAAACTAATTCTTTAGGAACGTTTGTAAAAAGTGATTTAACATCAAATGAGACCAAAATGAAGTCGTTAGGAATATGAAAATCTTTAATTTTATTTATAAACTCAAAACTATTTTTTACATGAAACTCTGAATTTCTAATAATTTTCTTAATGGGCGTACTAATGAATTGTGACAAATTGTTAGTTGGTGATCCACAAAAAGAAGTGACTGGTCTCATTGGAACCTGTGATTTATGAATTTTTGGCAGACCGTAAAATTTAGGAGCTACCGAATTATAAGATTTAAGATGCTTCGACATTGGACAATTTATATAGGAATTCTTGAGAAGCAAATCAACTTTGGCATTCATTCGTCTTTGTATAATTTGAGTAGGATCTTTGTTTACTTGTTTATAAATATTACCATCATTTAAGAGGGTTAAACATTTATCTACATATTCATCCTTATCCAAAACAACAGTGACATTACCTTTGTCGGCTTTACAAACTACTATGTTTTTATTTTCTTTAAGAAATTGTCTAGTTTTATTACCAATAGTATTATATATAGAATTGTTAAAAATATTATGATTATTGTTTAAATAATTTTGTAAAGCACCTGTTAACTTGCTTCTGAAAACATCCCTTTTATTATCCGGGATGAGATTAATTCTCTCCTCAGTCATGGTCAGAGCGTCCTCAACGACAGCAGATTTATCCGACGGATTAATATAAAATTTATCCCCCAGACTTAAAAAGTATGAAACATCTTGTGGAATGGTCACACTTGATAAGTTTCTAATCCATTTCGGATTTGGTTTTTTATTAAAATGAAAATTGTAATATTTCTTATTTAACCAATCAAATTTCGAAATACTCTTGTCAATAAGCTTCTTTTCATAACCATCCAAAAAATTTTCTTGGCAGGTAAAAAAATAATGACACATTTGTTGGTCACTAATCAACAAATCAAACAAACAATTTATTTTATTATTATATAAAACAAAATTTATTTAAAATGAAAAGAGAAACAGTTATAAAAATAGTATGGTAATAAAATGAGTTAGGTTTTACTCTCAGCAATTTTAAATATTTTTTTTTATAACCAATATTTTTTCCTCTTCTCTGCCAAGACACACAAAATACTGTAAGGCCTTTGACCGGTCTTATTTTTGTAAGGTGGTCTTTAACCTGATACATTATAAAATATAAAAACAAATTATAAACAATTGTCAACGACTGAGTTCCTGTCTTGTAAGACATGTCGTTAAAAATTCAGCTTTTTTAAGGTATGAAAAATAAGGTAGGAGTACTTTTGAAGGATTTGTTTGTACTCCATTATCATGTATATTGTATCTGGTATCAATAAACAAATTTAAAAAAGAGCGTTTGTCTGGTAGGTCGTAGGTTCAATTCCCGCGTGCGTCAGATTTTCTTTTGTCACGATTTAATTACAAAAACTAAAAATCGTTAAATAACGATGTTATTTATTAATAACTGAACTTGTTTGTTATTAATAAATAACAATATATATTAATAATATTTATTAATTTAATTTTGAAAAATAAAGTCGAGGGTAAGTTGGGGGCAAAGATGAGGGCAAACGTGAGGGCCCTCAACGATGAGCATATCGTTTCCATTAGGTGCCTCGCCTGGATCACCCACATGGGCCCCTCATGGATGTGGGCGATCCATGCGGGCCCCCTCTGTGGACCAACACCTCTTTTCCACACGGGTTTGTAAAAAAAATTACAATGAATTGATAAAATTATATTGGACAATTGTTTGAATATAAGCATCATATGGACTTTTAAAAATTAAATTAACCCTTTTTTGAAATCAAAGTGAATTAAGACTATGTTGGACAAACAATTGAATAGACACCATATGGCACAATTTGTTGAATTAACGCTTTATTGCAATGGCGTTCGAGTAAACACTATATTGACGAGGGCGTCGAGTTATGTTATTATGCTGGTCTCCTGTTTCCAAAAACGCAATTATGCGATTATATTTTATATTATTCTTTACTTTAATAACCATTTTAATGATTTTTCAGTTATTGCACTTTGAAATGCAATACTAAAAATATTCAAATTTGATGTTTTCTCAAATTTGATATAAAATTTTTAAAATACCTGAAAGCAGCCCATTTCATCGACTCCATCGCAATTATGTGGTTGAGATGCTGAACTGCTTCGACCTTCATTTTCCCCAGCACGTTTTTGCAAATATTGTTGGTAGTTTTGGAAATCGTAAACTGGAGGTGGAGACCCAGTGACAGGGTCTCTTGGTCCAGGGAATCGATTATTTTGATTTTCTTCTAAAAATGTATCTGGGTAAAAAATTTCAGCCACAAGTAAACTCGTCCATCTAGGAGATGACAAGCATCCACCATCTAAGTAGTGACATCGCGATTGCCTGCGTGAAAAAAGAATATATTATTTTGAATTTGGTTGAAAATTAAAAAACAAATTTTAATTGAAATTTTTAAATTGACTTCTAACATTCCGTTAAATGAGAATTTTACTAAAGATTCATTTCTAGAAAGGAAAAAGGGTAAATTCAATATTCTCTGTACTGAATATTTTGTAAAATAAACATTCAATTACTAAAAAATTGTAAAGTAATAGAAATTCAAGTTAATTTTAATTCGGCTAGAAAAAATTTTAGCAAATGAGTGTTAAGGCTTTTTAGCCCTGAGTTTCAAATATTAAATTAATTGGTTATTTACATGCATCTTGTAACTTCAATAGTCTGAGTGAAATAGCCTTCATAAGGAATTTGTACAACATAACGCCAAACTCCTTGATAATTTTTGGCAAAAACGGGTGTCGCATATTCAACTTTTGCAGGACAAGGCGTTGGAGGTCCTGTGTATTCAGGTTTCTCTTGAGGTGTAGGTCGTTCTCTTTGATAATATTCAGATGGTGGTATTTCATCTCGTCTTTCGGCAGCTGCAGGTGTAAGTGACTCTCCTTGAATAGCTTTGTATAACATACACATTCTAAAATCAAAAAGTTTTTCAAATTTTCATTTTATTTTTGTAATTATTGGGCATTGAATAACATGTCCTTAAGGATTTCATTCAAATATTCTAATCAAATAAAAATCAAATTCTTATTAAGTATTCTTTATTTTCAGTTCATCTCGACAATAATTGAGGCTCCGGATCTTAAAAGGGCACTTTCAGCATTAATTTTAAATGGTACAAGTGCCCTTTTAAGATCCGGGGCCTCAATTCTACTTATGTACAAATGAAAAAAATCATATAAATTACAATGTGGAATGGAAAGAATCTTGATAGATCGATCTATTTGGTGACTGACCGGTGCGTAGATTGAGTTACAGAATACATACAAGCGTTTTTAACCCTCCATCCGTCGCACCTTTTTTTGTAACGCGATCCGTCGCAGGTGAGGGAAATTCTCACCCTCATAAATTAGTCCAAACTTGTTCTAAAATGCCAAATTTTTTTTTTAATGTTCATTAGAATTTCTAAACAACCTATTGGTTGTTATATATACGCGGTCAGTCGCATGGTGAGAAGTTCCCTCACTTCGCGTCAAAAATCCCCGACATTTGCTGCTTTCAAATTCAATAACAAAGAAATTAAAATATAAAAAAACACCAAAATTGTTTTAATGTAAAGAAGAAGAGTGCCGTAAAAGGTACTGAGAATATGAAATTATAATTTTTTGTATTTTAAAAGTTATAAATTAAAAAAGAAACTGGGTGAGGGAAATTCTCACCATGCGACGGATGGAGGGTTAAAGACTAAAAATTTAAAAAAACATTTTTTTCAAGTTAAATTCATTTCTAATTTTTATGTGTAGGTATCAATTTTAAAGTAATTATTACTTAATAGAGGAAATTTTTTTTTATTTTTGTGGCCTATTAGCTTATATTTATTTATTAACATCAAAAGAATTTTGACGAGTTTCGATGCAGTATTCTGCATCCTCATCAGGAAAAATTTGACCACCCTTCGGGCAGGCAGAGTTCATCGAGCTCCGTGGATAGATGCGTGCTTTGCGCGCAAATAGCTCGCAGTGCGGCGTCTAACATCGTGCACTACTAGCGTTTTCGTCGTGTTTATCAGTAGGGGAGACTGGGGTAAACCCGCTCACTTTTTTTCAGATCGGTGAAAATCTAAGAAATTATTCTCCAAATCCAAGTTAATTTATATCATTTGAAAGCTTATGATTTCTACTAAAAAAATAAAAAAGAGTTTTTGATTTATCTTTTTTAGTTTTTCTTAGAGAAAATTTTTAATACGCATATTATACCAAATTTCGAAATCACAATTTTCCAAGGTAAGCCCGCTCACTTTATCTTTTCAAGACCGAACAGTTTTATTTTTTAAATATTAAAATAATAAACTATGAAAAATGTCCATAAATATTATTGGTAACATAATTTTAGAACGATTAGAAAAAAACTATGCCATTTCGACTAAAAACAAATAAACAATTCATTGGTAAGTTAATTTGTTTATAACATTAATAAATAATATTTTTTGAACAATATTTATGTACAGCTGTTAATAGTGACGTAATTCTAAAGCCAGTAGAAAAGAAACAAATTTTCGCTTGTCCCATTCAAAAAACAAATAACTTTCAGAGCAAATTTAGAAAACACGTAAATTTCAGAGACAATGTAAAAAACACGTAACATCTAAAGCGTTTTAGAAATCGCGTAACACTTACAACATGTTTAGAAACAACATAACTCGATTTTTTTGAGTTTGGACATTTTTATCGTATTCGATAGAGGATAAATTTATCTTTTTATTAATTAGTTGTTTTTAGTAAAATTAAATGTAGTTAAAAAATTATATTCGTTTTACGAAATGACATATTGTGCAATTGGTAAATTTAGTCCGTGCAAAAAACACGTAACTTCAATACTGAAAAAAAATTTGATAGTGATTTGTCATAATTCGTAGTGGTTAAGTTCGTGTAAACAATACTTTGACGCACAGAAAGTTACTGTCATGTTTGGAAAATACTTTTAAATAGTTGTAAGTATACTTACTTATCTTCTCATATTTTATATAATAATATTAATTATATTAAATCAAAGCATTATTTTTAAATTAAATACATTTGTCTTAAATATTTATTGTATGTTTAGATTCTAACATTTTAACCCCTAAATATCAAAACATTTTAAAACTCTATTCTACTATCCAGCATAAATTTTATTTTTTCATTTAGAAATGATTATACGGCGTCTTCATAGAATAAGTTATTTTCAAATATGGAAGAAGGAAATGAAAATTCGTGTCAATCATTTAATCCTGACGAAGATGATCTCCAAAGTAACTACCAGATAGAAATACTTTTATTTAATTATTATTATTATTATTTTATTTAATTACTTTTTATTTACTTTTATTTCTTTTTATTTTTTTTTATTTATTTATTTTTTTTATTTTTTTATAAACTTCATCATTGGTTTCCGAAAATTTTTTGATAAATAATTTATTAATTATTAATGAAATAGAAAATATATAAAAAAGGAAAATTTATATTAAATCACTGGTTTTAATCATGTTTGTTCTATTGTAGGTGAAGAAAATTTTGAAACGAATTTTGATGCGAGATTTCATTTACTGCTTGACAATATTAGAGAAGAAAGACCAATTTCTGATGAGATCTCTTTTCATAATCCAGCATATGAAAATTTGAACACTTTGCAGCCTAATCCTTCAACTTCAACATTATCCGGAGTTAATATTGATGGCGAAAATGACGCAATGGTACCTGAATCAAATCAGAAATTAACTCGAAAACGTGTGGCTAAGCCTGAAATTTGGAAAAAAATGTATTGAAAGAGCAATTTGCTAAAGGATTAGAACACGAACGTACGAATAAGAATGGGGAAGTTATTTCCAGAAGATCTCGCAAATTACAAGCCGGGTGTGATTTAAGTTGCCGCCGAAAATGTCATTTAAATATTACAGAAGCTGATAGACAAATTGTTTTTCAAAAATTTTGGGAAATTCCTACTCAGGTTGAAAAATGGGGATTCATATTAAGGAATTTAAAAATTAATGAAATCGAAAAATCTAATCTATCAACCCCGAAAAAGAAATCAACAAGAAGTTTCTTTCTTCCAGGACAAAATGGATTAGTACAAGTTTGTAAAGTCATGTTCCTGGACATTTGGACATTACCGATTCTTGGGTTGAAACTGTTGTTAAAAAGCAGGAAGACAGAGGTTTCATTACACCTGACATGCGTGGTAAGAATTCTAGGCCTAGCTCGTCTACCACTGAAGGATTGAAGGTGTTTATCAGGAATCACATTGACAGTCTTAAGCGAATGCCTAGTCACTATTCGAGACAAAATTTCACAAAAGAATATCTTGTTCAAGATTTTCAGTCAGTAGTTGATTTACATGCAAATTACGAACAGTGGATGTCACAAGAACATCCAGACGAAAAGGTTGCAACTGAAAGACAGTACAGGGATGTTTTTAACTGTGAATATAACATCAGTTTTTTTCTTTTGAAAAAAGATCTCTGTGATGTTTGCGATACTTGGAAAAACACACCTGAAAATGAACGAGAACCAATCCAAATAAGTTACTCGAAACATATAATGAATAAGGATACAGTTCTCGTAAAGAAAGATGCGGATACAAAAGTGGCACGACTTCAAACAAGCACTAATCTCGTGGTTGCTCATTTTGACTATGAAAAGGCTCTTATTTGCCCTAAAGCGAACGCCTCCGTTTATTATTATAGAAGAAAGTTATCTGTCAACAATTTCACAATTGTCGATGTTGGCAGATTTGAAGACTGTTGTTATGTATATGATGAAACAATCGCGAAAAAAGGGTCAAACGAGGTAGCCAGTTTTCTTCTTCATTTTATGAAGCGAAAAGTAGAAGCTGGAATAACGGAATTTAGGTTCTACAGTGATAACTGTGTTGGGCAGAATAAAAATCGAAATGTAACTACTGCGTTCTTGTACGCAGCAAGCAAATTTAATGTCAAAATTGTACACACGTTTTTAGAAAAGGGCCACACTTTTAATGCTGCCGACACAGTTCACAGCTTAATTGAAAGAAAAACGCGACCGCTACAACTTTTTACACCATCCATGTGGTATGACAGCATTGCAGCAGCGAAGAGGTCAAAACAACATCCAATTGTCTTAGTAAAAGTTAATCAAGAAATTATTTTTGATTGGAAGGATCTTTCTGACAAGTTGAATCTCGATAATGATGTTAATAAAAGTCACATTCCCTGGACGAAAATAAGGCAAATTTCAGTTGAAGGTTCTACTCCTCATGAGTTTCAATTCAAAGTGAACTTTGATGATAACCCGATTACAGTATCAACAAAAGGTGCTGGACGACCTGTTAATTTCGATTCTTATGAATTGAAAAATGTTTACCAAGAAACAATGTTTACCAAGAAAAATGTTTTCCAATCTCTAAATTAAAACACAAGGACTTGATGCTCTATTGTGATCAGAATCATATTCCTGTGGAACATCACGATTATTACAAGGGATTACATACTTCGGAAAATGTAATTGAATCAGATGAGGAAGAAACAGTCAAAGAACCTGTCATTGGAAGAGAACGAAAAAGAAAAGCTGTTTCATCTAAGCAGAAACGCACTTACAATAAAAAAAGTCAAAAGTCAAAAAAATAATTTCAAAACGTTTAAAAATAATTTTTTAAGTTGTTTCAATTTTATGATTAATTCTACAAAAAACACTTATTAATGTTGTGTATAATTTAATTTAATAATTAAAAATTAAAAAATATAACAAATTGTATTTTATTTCTAAAATTAATTAAATAAATGTTGTCATTATTGAAAAATGTAATAATTAATAATTAAAAAATATGACAAATTGTATTTTATTTCTAAAATTAATTAAATAAATTTTATAATTATTGAAAAATTTAAATAACAGAAAAGAAGCTTGTAAAATAATTACAAGGAAAAATTTTGAAATATGACTTTACATTTGTGGTTAGAGA